AAATGAGACTTTGGTGGGGATAAAGAGCCCAACCATATCACATATGTTCAGGTAAAAACCAGGTGTTTTTGAGACTTAGGAATTCTCTTTAAAAAAAACCAAACAAACAAAACAAAAAAAGCAAGCGTTTTAATACTATGAAGAAGATGGAGAGGAATGGATATTTGAGGTAACTCACAGCCCCCGCCACAGCTCCTAGACTGTTTCTCCTTTAATTTTCTTATATTTTGCCAGTATGAAAAATCGAAAGTAATTTCATCCTTCTCTGAACTTCAACATCACTCTTTATTTGTACCTTTATTACAGCACTCATCTTAGTGTGCCTTACATGCTAACTTATGTATGAGTATTGGATAACTCCTTATACAGTATATACAAGACATATAATAGTATTTTTAAATTGGTTGGTGCCAATTTTAAGTGGTCGAAGTTAAAGCATAGTGCAGGAAAATTACATTTTTTAAAAGTGGATTAATTTAATCTGTTCAGTGCTTCATTAATCGTAGGAATGTACATTATTTGTAGAACAAATTTAATAGTCATAATGGACACATATTGTTTGCTGGAAGCTTTATTGAGAAGCACCTACAGTTTTTATTCATTATGTGTGTGTTTCAGTTTTCATTGTTAGGAGAGGAAAATACTCTAAGATGGTAGGAATTTAATTCTAATTTACTTCATGTATTTTGTTTTATTTTAGTATGGCTTTACTCCGTGAAATAGAAGAAGGACTACAGAAAGCTGTAACAGACCATACAATAAAAGCCATTGTGATTTGTGGAGCAGAGGGCAAATTTTCTGCAGGTAACTAAGGTCTAACCCTCTCCCACTATCTCTGGAATCCAGCCACAGACTGAGATCAATACTGCATTAGCTGTGCCTGTGTGGGTAACGGATATGAGAGACTTGAGTGAGAATGAGAAACACTGTGGAGAAAGGGACAGAGTTACAAGAGAGACCTAGAGAAGACTTTGGGCTTAGTCTCTTTTATAGTGGATTGGGCTTTTAGAATATATTTAGTCCCAGACTTGATGGCTGTTATACCTGCTGGTATACACCTGCTGATATATACCTGCATTGCTTGTATCTCCACCATATATGGACTTGGGCAAATCTTTTTAAATTCCTGAACCTCAATTTCTCTATAAAGTAGGAACAGTAATATCTATTTTAGGGTTTTTTTGTGACATTAAATGAGAAAAAAAATCTGAAGTCCTCTACTACAGTACCTACACACAGAAGATTTAATTCCTACAGTCTTATAGTAGCATTTATTTTTCTTCTAATAGTCACCCATCTCGGTGACCATGGCACTGCTTTACTGGGTTATTGTGTGAAGATGCAAAATTATTGATAACATATGGCAAAAGTATTCTGAAATGGTGACTTATTCAATGGTATACATGGCATCTTTTCCTTAATGAATATACTATGCCCTTTGACAAAAGTCACATGGATATGGGGGCCTATTCAACCTTACTGTAGCCAGAGAAATTTAATATGTGTTAATGGTAGCCTGAAAAGACACAGATGTTAGAATCATGGCAATATATATAAAAATGTGAATCATTATAATATTACCATTTATCTTGCCTGTTATGTGCCAGTACCATGCAGGTTTATTAATTAATAATAAAAATAATAGAATTTTAAAACACATATTTTAATTTTCAGTTCTACATCCTCATTTACTGGTGAGAAGAGATTATAAGCCTGGGAGAGATTAATATAATGTCCCAGTTATTAACTGGCTTAAGCAGTTATTAAATGGCTTGCTCACTGTTTGAAAACTTAAGGTTTGTCACCCAAGATGATGATGATGACGCATGGAAAGAGTGATCAGAATGATAAAGAACTTGATATTTCTTTGTAAGAAAGAAGGTAGATCAGAGAATGTAATTCAAGTTCAGAGGCAGAAAAAATTATTCTTTTAAAAAAGTATTAGAGATTACGAAACTCGACTTAATGTGTGGACATAGAACAGTGCACCCCAAAACGGGAGAATGTACATCTTCTGAAATACATCTGGAACATTTACAAAAATTGACTAGATACTGAATTTTAAAATCTTGTCTAAATAAATTTCATTGAGAATATATCATCTGACAACAATGCAATTGAGCTAAAAATCAATAACAAAAATATAACTAGTAATTCTCATGTGTTTGGAAGTTAAATTAATTTCCAGTATCCTCTGAGTAAAAACAGAAATAATGGAATTAGAAAAAATTTAGAACTGAATGGCAATGAAAACATAATATAAAACTTGAGGGATGCAGCCAAAGTAAACTTATCAGGAAATTTATAGCTTTAGAAATATGTATTAGAAAAGAAAAAAGGCTTTTCTAATGTAATGAGTTTTGTATTGATATAAAGGAACTGACATAACAAACTAACAGTAAAATACACCCTAATTAAGTAGAACAAAGGAAATAATAAAGAGGAGAAATTAATGAAATAGAAAACATTTGGATCAAGAGGAACAACAGTGTTGTTTTTTGAGACTAATACAATTGACAAACTCGGGAGAGATTGAAAGAGAAGATAGGACACAAACAATGCATATAAGGAATGATGAAAAGGATATCACTGCAGATACCCTTAACCAGCCCTTAAGAAAGATAATGGCTCTTTTGCTGATGCAAGAGCCTGGTGCGGTGGAGGGAAAGGTACTGGCAAGAGCTGCGCTGCCATGGAGCCTGGGGCTGACCCATCTGACTGCCCATCCATGCAGAGCCTACTGGAGCTGCAGTTATGCCTGCGGACGAGATGATTTTTGATCCTACTATGAGCAAGAAGAAAAGAAGAAGAAGCCTCTTATGTTAGGTGAAGAAGAGGATACCCAAACAGAGGAAACCCAGCCTTCAGAAACAAAAGTCTGGAGCCAGAGCCAACTGAGGACAAAGATTTAGAAGCTGACAAATTGAACAGTAGGAAAAAAGATGCTTCTGATGATCTAGATGACTTGAACTTCTTTAATCAAAAGAAAAAGAAGAAAAAAGCAAAAAAGATATTTGATACTGATGAAGCTGAAGAAGGTGTAAAGGATCCTAAGATTGAAAGTGATGCTGAGGAACCAGCTGAATCAGAGGATGACCTTGACATTGTGCTTGGCAATAAAAAGAAGAAAAAGAACAATGTCAAGTTCCCAGATGAGGATGAAATACTAGAGAAAGATGAAATTCTAGAAGATGAAGACAGCAAAAAAGATGATGGTATCTCATGGAGTCATCAGACCAGCCCTGCTTAGGCAGGCTCAGAAAGCGACTACACATAAGAGAAGCTGTTGAGTCACATGTTCAACATCACGAGGAAAAAGAATCCAGATATGGTTGCTGGGGAGAAAAAGAAATTCATCATGAAACTTCCACAGGTCATCCAAGTAGGAACCAAGAAAACTTCTTTTGTCAACTTTACAGATATCTGTAAACTATTACATCATCAGCACAAACATCTCCTTGCATTTTTGTTGGCTGAATTGGGTACAAATGGTTCTATAGATGATAATAACCAACTTGTAATCAAAGATTCCAACAGAAACAGAAAATGTCTTAAGAAGATATATCAAGGAATATGTAACTTATCACACATGCTTATCACTGGACACAATCCTGCAGAAGGACGCATGACTCTTATTTCCTACAATGCGAAACTTGTTCTGTTGCCGATTCTAGATGTTCTGTTGCCAGTATCAAAACTGGCTTCCATGCTGTCACGGGCAAGTGAGCACAGCTCGGTGCTAAAGCTAACTAATTTGGTAATCACTGATTTTGCAAAATGTGTTGTGAAGATGTGGCTGGACAGGTTTGCCTGTCCAGAGTGGATATACCATTCTATAAAAAACAAGATAAAAAAGCTGCCAAGTTCTTTGGCTAGTGGTTGGTTGGTCTGAAATCCTTGCAAGATGCTGATGCTCAAGCTATTGACATACTTATCACCTACTTTGACAACTGTCAGAGAAACGTGATATGGGGTAAGGAGGTGCTTTTTAAAAATCATTCAGACTTCTGTAAAATGCAAGATAAAGTTATTATAACAGTGAAAAAAGATAATGAAGATATTATGAACATGTAAAAAAAATTCGGCTTCCCAAAATTAACTCAAAAAGAAATAGAAAACCCAAATAATTCTGTAATCATTAAAGAAATTCAATCAGTAATCAAAAATATCAACAAGTTAATACTTGACCCAGAAGACTCCATTGACAAGGTCTACTGTAAAGCATTTTTTTACATAAACAATAGGCAAGCAAAGAGCCAAATCATAAATGAACTCCCATTCACAATTGCTACAAAGAGAATAAAATGCCTAGGAATACAGCTAACGAAGGATGTGAAGGGATACCAACCACTGCTCAAGGAAATAAGAGAAGACACAAACAGATGGAAAAACATTCCATCCTCATGGTACCAATCCTTTTGACACTATTCCATAAGAAAGAGAAAGAAGGAATCTCCCCAATTCATTCTATGAAGCCAGCATCACCCTAATACCAAAACCAGGAAAGTATATAACCAAAAAAGAAAACTGTAGACTGATATCCTTGTTGAACATTCATGCTAAAATCCTTAACAAAATACTAGCTAACTAAATCCAACAACATATCAAAAAGATAATCCACCATGATCAACCATGATACCAGGGATGCAGAGATGATTTAACATGCACAAGTCAATAAATGTGATACACCACATAAACAGAATTACAAACAAAAATCATGTGATCATCTCCACAGATGCAGAAAATGCATTCTACAAAATCCATCATCCCATTATGATTAAAACTCAGCAAAATCAACATACAAGGGACATAACTCAATGTAATAAAAGCCATCTGTGACAGACCCACAGACACCATAATAATGAATGGGGAAAAGTTGAAAGCTTTCCCTCTGAGAGCTGGAACAAAACAAGGATGGCCACTGTCACCACTCCTCTTCAACATAGTACTGGTAGTCCTACCCAGAGCATTAAGACAGGAAAAAGAAATAAAGGGCATCCAAATCTGTAAAGAGGAAGCCAGACTTTCACTGTTTGCTGATGATATGATTGTTTACTTTGAAAGTTCTAAAGACTCCTTTTGAAAGTTTCTAGAACTGATAAAAAAAATTCAGCAGTTTCTTGATGCAAGATTAATGTACACAAATCAGTAGCTCTTCTATACACCAACAGTGACCAAGCAGAGAATCAAATCAAGAACTAGTCCCCGTTTACAATCGCTGCAAAAAAAAAAATTTTTTTAATAGGAATATACCTAACCAACGAGGTGAAAGACCTCTATAAAGAAAACTACAAAACATTGCTGAAAGGAATCATAGATGACACAAACAAATGGAAACACATCCCATGCTCAAGGATGGATATAATCAATATTGTGGAAATGACCATGCTGCCAAAAGCAATACACAAATTCCATGCAACCCCCATCAAAATACCATGATCATTCTTCACAGAATTAGAAAAACAATTCTAAAATTCATATGGAAGCAAAAAAGAGCCCACATAGCCAAAGCAAGACTAAGCAAAAAGAACAAATCTGGAGGCATCACATTGCCTGATTTCAAACTATGCATAAGGCCATAGTCAGCAAAACAACATGGTGTTGACATAAAAATAGGCACATAGACCGATGGAACAGAATAGAGAACCCCAAAATAAACCCACATACTTACAGTCAACTGATCTTTGACAAGGCAAACAAAAACAAACTGGGGAAAGGGCACCCTTTTCAACAAATGGTGGTGGGATAATTGGGTAGCCACATGTAGGAGAATGAAACTGGAACCTCATCTCTCACCTTATACA